CTAAGAAGTCAAGGTTTAAATGTAAACCCTTAAGTAGAAAGTGTCATATTCAAACAATGTAATGTGTATGAGCCGAGTTTATGATCTTCATTGACAAACTCCTTCATAAGAAATGTCCAAAGGGTAAAGTTTAGATTTTTAAAAAATTTTTTTTAATTGGTCTTGACTGATTATCAAGTTTTATATGATTCATGGAGGAAAAAGAACCACCTTTAGTTACATATAGAGCCCCAAGCAAATCAATGATTTCGTATACATGATTTAAGTACTTATATAAGTTCAGACTTGTATAAATGGACTAAGCCCCAAGGCAAGCTAACTAGACTGCAGTCCACCAGGCCTATCTAGCGTAAATGCAAACTATTATCATTGAAAATGCTGCAACACAGTATATGATTTATTGAATTTAGAGAATAACTCTAAGAAATATGTATTGCAGCTGAGTTCTATGTCCCTGATATTAATGAACTATTGAATTTACTTTTTGAAGGATTATTGTGGTCAAGAAAATGGTACATTCCGCATTTTAACTGACAGCATCCCATGCTGTGAAAATGGGCTAACCTGCTCCAGGAAAGTCATAGTTGCCTTTCAGGTACGTGCAAATCTTCTTCCCTGACCTGTCCTCTGAGATTATGAACTTCCAAATGAGATGATTTTTATGTCTTTCTTTTAATTTCCAGGATCAAAACATTATCTTACAAAATGGTAAAGTAACAGCGATTAAAACCACCAAAAGCAAGAGCTGTGAGCTTGACGCCAATGCATACTCTATCCACACTGTCGGCCTCTACATGACTGTGAAACTTCTGAATGGAATAATCCTAATTTGGGACAAATATACAAAAGTGTCTGTGATTCTGGACCCACAGTGGCAGGTGCATACATCTCTCCCAGGTGAGGTAATAGGGGAGGTGAGCCATTTCTGTTTCAAAGACTTAGAGGTGGGTAGTCACAGGCTGAACGTAGGGTGTCCTTAAGGTCACTTACAGAAATGAACCCACAACTTTCTCTTAAACTACCATGAAATATGAGTACTACCAAACGTGATAAAGTCTAGTAGAAATGTAAATGAAATCAATTCAAAGATTCATATTTGGTTACTTGAGACTACCACATGATATAATTTGGAAGTAATTACATATTTTGAATCAGATGCATTCCTTGCAACAAATATTCTAAGAATGCAAGCGTGTATACATGTATAACCAATTTGAAAACTGAAAATATAATTATTTTTTCATTTTATGATATTTATCAATATTTACTTGGTACTAGATCCTTTTATGATATGGGGTAAAAATTCTGATTTCCTCCTCAAAGCTGGAATTCAAGATAGAGTCCTGATATATTATGTATAATTGTGATGTCTATCTATGTGTCTATCTTTTATCTATCATCTATCTATTTATCAATCATCTATCTATGTATCTATAATCTATCATCTGTCTACTGTCTAGCTATCATTTATCTATTTATCTTCTATCTATCTGTCTGCCATCTGATATATCTATATTTCTCACTGTTTTCCTGTTGTAACTGATTTTTTTTTACTTATTATACAGGATTATATGAGGTCATTTCACTCAAGTTCATATTGTATTTGAGAAGTTTGTCCCCTACATCCTACTGCCCTTCCCCTTTTTACCCTGTGATCTCATATGAGTTCCCTTTCTTCTCCAGATATTTTCACCTCTACTTTATAGCATATTATATATGTGATACTATCTGTCTATCATGTCTAGGTTATCTTCTATCTATCTGTCTGCCATCTGATATATCTATATTTCTCACTGTTTTCCTGTTGTAACTGATTTTTTTTTACTTATTATACAGGATTATATGAGGTCATTTCACTCAAGTTCATATTGTATTTGAGCAGTTTGTCCCCTACATCCTACTGCCCTTCCCCTTTTTACCCTGTGATCTCATATGAGTTCCCTTTCTTCTCCAGATATTTTCACCTCTACTTTATAGCATATTATATATGTGATACTATCTGTCTATCATGTCTAGGATCGTAGCAAAAAGAAAGTGTGTGGCGTTTGTCTTTGTCAAGCCAACTTCATTCACTTAATCTGATTTTCTCCAGTTGCATTCACTTAGTAGTAAAAAACATAATGTTCTTCATGACTGGAAAGTTTCTACTGTGTGCATTTTCTTTATATACTCCTCTGTTGGAACTTAGGTTGGTTCCGTAACAGCTAGTGTGAATCGCATTGCAATAAACATTAATCTGAAAGTATCTCTGGATAGCTGGGTCATATGATACATCTATTCACGAGTTTAAAATTTTTTAAAAAATTTTATGTGTATGAGTATTCTGTCTGCATGTATGTAAGTGCACCAGTTTCACCTAATGTCTGCAGAGGCCAGAAGAGGGTGTCAGATCCCTTGGAATTGGAGTTACAGAAGGTTGTTAACTGCTACGTGGGTGCTGTGAAAAGAACCAGGATCTTTTACCAGAGCAGCCAGTGCTCTTGAGCCATCTCTCCAGTCCCTAGTCTTAGTTTTTTAAACAGGCCTCCATGCTGATTTCCACAGTGGCAAGACTACTATACATTCTCCTCAGCAGTGTGTTCCCCTTTCTCCACATCTGGCATCTGTTATTGTTTCCTTGATAACGATAATTTTGGCTGTAGTGAGATGGGATCTCAGTATAGTTATGATTTGCATTTCTGAGGCTAGGGTATTAGTTACTGTATGTGGCTAGCCAATTTTGCTAGCTCCTGTTGTTTGAGAAGCTATCTTTTCTTCAACATATATTTTTGGCAATTAACAAAAAGGTCAGATGGCCATAGCTGCATGGTCCTCTATTCTCTTCCAATGATCTACTTGTCTGTTTTTCTGGCAGTACGATGCTGATGAAATTTTATTTATTTTATTGATTAATTGATTGATTAATAAATTTCTGTTGCACAACTTGAGATCAGGCACGCTGATCCCCCCAGAATTATTCTCTTTGATCAGGATTGATTTGACTACCCAGGGTCTTCTGTGCTTCCACATGAATATTTTGACTGAGTTTTATACTTCTTTGAAGAATGTCATTGGAATTTTTATGGGGATTATATTGAATCTGCAGATTGCTTTTGACAGGATGACGATTTTCACAATATTAAATTCTTCTAATCCATCAGTATCTTGAAGTACCTTCAGTTTCTTTCTTCTGTGTTTTAAAGTTTTCACTGTAGAGGTCTTTCACTTCCTTGGTCAGGCTTATTCTGTGTGTCTGGGATGAAGCTGACTTGATGATGCGACTGACCCTGTACAAGTGATGCTTAAAGTTCTCTTTCTGATCACCACGGGGCAAAGTGTGTGGTCTCTGTGGAAATAACAACAGCGATCTCAAGGATGATTTCACAACGAGGTATTCATCGGTAGCTGCTAGAGCCCTGGAATTTGGAAATAGTTGGAAAACAAGTCAGGAGTGCTCAGATACCATAACTCAAAGCTTCCCATGTGACTCCAACCCGTACTGCAAAGGCTGGTCTGTGAAGAAGTATGAGATCATCACTGACAGCACCTTCCAAGAATGCCACAGCAAGGTAGCACTGCTCCCACGTCGCTGCCTTGGGGGGGAACCTTCCAGACACTTATGTGCTGTGCTCTGCCTAGGTGGACCCCACTGCCTACTACGACGCCTGCATTGAAGAGGACTGCTCCTGCGACATGGAGGGCAAGTACTTGGGCTTCTGCACCGCGGTGGCCACGTACGCAGAAGCATGCAACACAGTTGGAGTCTGCGTCTCCTGGAGAAAACCAAACCTCTGCCGTAAGTGAAGCCCGTGTGTCTGCTCTAAGTGGAATAGGAAATTGGTATACGTGTATAGAGCCATGACAGAAATCAGCCTGGCTTCCCCAGAAAGCAAAGCATTATGCAGGAAAAGGTGATGGGACTGGACAGAGAGCTCAGAGCAGGCCACTTTCAATGTTTAGCCTTATATGATGATCCTCGTGAACTCACTATGTAGACCAGGCTGTCTTCCACCTCACACATCCACCTGCCCCTCTCTCCCAAGTCCTCCAAAATCCTGGGATTAAAGGCATGCATCACAGCCTGGATATATTGACCTCTTTAATTACCTCACTTGGGACTATTACATGTCTAAAGAGCTTAATTTTCTGATTTTTTTTGAGACAGAATGTGCACTGTAGCCCATGGTATTCCAGAACTCACTGTATAGCACAGGCTAGCCTTGAATTGATGATTCTTCTCCTGCCTCAGGATCTCT